TGGGTGAGGCCTATGCTTCAATTACAGGCACAATGAGAACAAGACCTTCCTGGTTTGGGTGAACGAGGAGGATCACCTGCGTGTCATTTCCATGCAGAAGGGCGGCAACATGAAGGAAGTGTTCAAGCGCTTCTGTGTTGGTCTTCAGAGGGTATGGAGAACCTGTACATATAAATGCACATATGTAAACCGCTGTTGTTGCCCGCAGCATGTGTGAGCATGTGTATGTTCTGCTTCGACAGATCGAGGAGATTTTCAAGAAGCACAACCATGGATTCATGTGGAACCAGCATCTTGGTTTCATTCTGACCTGCCCCTCCAACCTGGGCACAGGCCTGCGTGGTGGTGTCCACGTCAAGCTGCCCAAGCTGAGCACACATGCCAAATTTGAGGAGATCCTGAACAGACTGCGCCTGCAGAAGCGTGGCACAGGTATACAAACCCTGCCTGAACATACTGCACAAATGTTTATTGATGATATTAACGTCATGAAGACGTTGTATAATTAACATCTGCTCCATTTGTTGACCTCCATCCTCATTTGTCTTCCCAGGTGGTGTGGACACCGCATCTGTTGGAGGAGTGTTTGACATTTCCAACGCTGACCGTATTGGCTCTTCAGAGGTTGATCAAGTGCAGTGTGTGGTTGATGGCGTCAAGCTGATGGTCGAAATGGAGAAGAAGCTGGAGAAGGGCGAGTCCATCGACAGCATGATCCCTGCCCAGAAGTAAAGCGGGAGCCCTTCCATTTTTTTCTAGTCATTTTTTTTTTTTTTTACAGTCCATCGTGCAATCTGACATCAATGCAGAGGAAACTGCTGCTCAAACAGACAGTCTCGCCTTTGCATCTGTCTTGCTTTCCTTTTTTCCCTTCTTCTTTATTTTCCATGTCATTTCGCCATCACTTTATTCCACTTTGTTTCCTGTTCAGTTGGTAACATCTTGGGATCAGATTCCCGGCGCAGGTGTGAGTGCCTGTTGTCGAGGCTTCACCTTAATTTCAGCCTTGGTTGTAAAAAGTGAATCAATCAAGTTGTATTTAAATAAAAATACCCCGTAAAACATATAAACATGTCTTCTATTTTAACAAATTTGTGAGCAGAGTCAATTATATATATATATATATCTGCGTGTCATTGCCATGCAGAAGGGTGGCAACATGAAGGAAGTGTTCAAGCGCTTCTGTGTTGGTCTTCAGAGGGTATGGAGAACCTGTACATATAAATGCACATATGTAAACCGCTGTTGTTGCCCGCAGCATGTGTGAGCATGTGTATGTTCTGCTTCGACAGATCGAGGAGATTTTCAAGAAGCACAACCATGGATTCATGTGGAACCAGCATCTTGGTTTCATTCTGACCTGCCCCTCCAACCTGGGCACAGGCCTGCGTGGTGGTGTCCACGTCAAACTGCCCAAGCTGAGCACACATGCCAAGTTTGAGGAGATCCTGACCAGACTGCGCCTGCAGAAGCGTGGCACAGGTATACAAACCCTGCCTGAACACACTGTACAAATGTTGATTGATGATATAAATGTCATGAAGATGTAGTATAGTTAACATCTGCTCCATTTGTTGACCTCCATCCTCATTTGTCTTCCCAGGTGGTGTGGACACCGCATCTGTTGGAGGAGTGTTTGACATTTCCAACGCTGACCGTATTGGCTCTTCAGAGGTTGATCAAGTGCAGTGTGTGGTTGATGGCGTCAAGCTGATGGTCGAAATGGAGAAGAAGCTGGAGAAGGGCGAGTCCATCGACAGCATGATCCCTGCCCAGAAGTAAAGCGGGAGCCCTTCCATTTTTTTCTAGTCATTTTTTTTTTTTTTACAGTCCATCGTGCAATCTGACATCAATGCAGAGGAAACTGCTGCTCAAACAGACAGTCTCGCCTTTGCATCTGTCTTGCTTTCCTTTTTTCCCTTCTTCTTTATTTTCCATGTCATTTCGCCATCACTTTATTCCACTTTGTTTCCTGTTCAGTTGGTAACATCTTGGGATCAGATTCCCGGCGCAGGTGTGAGTGCCTGTTGTCGAGGCTTCACCTTAATTTCAGCCTTGGTTGTAAAAAGTGAATCAATCAAGTTGTATTTAAATAAAAATACCCCGTAAAACATATAAACATGTCTTCTATTTTAACAAATTTGTGAGCAGAGTCAATTATATATATATATATATAGTTGTCAACATTTGAAGTGGATCAAAACCTTTCATCAAAGTTGTCCTAAAACCTTAAACCAAACTGCATAATTAGGACAACTTTGATGAACTTTTTTGATCCACTTCAAATGCTGACTACTGTGTATATATATTATATATATATACACACACACACACACACACACAAATATAAACTACTGAATTTGTATTGAGTTCATATGGTCAAAGTTTAGATGACTTTTTCAACCAGGCAACAAATAAATTACCCATAAAAAAAGAAGAGGGATAGAATTTTGCACACCACGAGATTCCCATACATCCAAATAAAAATGATGCAATAATCAAGCACAAGCAAAGATGCCAACATCAGTGACGTTTATTTCTCTCAAGTTTCCATTTTAATATTTGGCCAGAGGTGCAAACACCTCTGGGGGAACAAAAGTTACGTTCTGCAAACAGCAGTCTCTCTCTTGCTCTCTCTCATAGGCTATATATATATATATATATATATATATATATATATATATATAGTTTGTCCACCTGACTTCTCTCTCGTCATATTGCATATTAGCTAAATGCATCATGAAAAACCCAATGTCATAGCACAGTTTACATCACAGACAGCACAACACTGAACTGGAGGGATTTACCATTCAGATGTGACGCGCCTGACTCACGATTCTCACTAATCCTCTTTTTTAATACCTGGGACATTAAAAATCTCATTCATTCCAACACACTTTCACTCCAGGTCAAGTATGGCTGCCAGATTAAAAGTCTGCCCTAATCCTCTCACACAAACATTTCCTACCAGCAGAGAGAGGGAGGCAGGGCAACAGAGTAGCGCAATACACAGACGCACACATTCACACATACATGCACACACACGCATACACACTCTCTCTCTCGCTTGAATTCCTTTGCTTTTGCCCATTCTGTTATTTCACATTTGTCTTCTCTCTTTCTCCATCCTTTCTCTGAATCATGCAGGATTGCAGGTTAGTGGTTCACTTCAGCACACATAGAAACGTCTGGAGACCTAGCAGAGGGTCTCTGCTCTAGCTATGATTTAACCTGGAGTTCTAAGATACTGTCGATACTATACTCACAATATTATCATCAGTATCATAATCTTCATATACAGCCATAGTCTGACTGATATAAACCATGTATTTTTTTCTTTCTCCCAAGATAATTATTCTAGAAAATAAATTAAGTACCTGTGCAAATATACACAAATCGTAGCGTTCACATTTAAGACATTGGCGCCTTCCGGTGGACAAACATGGGTACAAACCCACAGAGCCATAGGATGCAGCTGGTTCAAGTCAACATGAGTGCACAGAGGTCTTAATGGACATCGAACAGATACAGGTCTCAGCAGTCCAAACCACATAGAGCCGGTCTGATGCGGAGACCGAGTCAGACTGGTCCAGGACATCCAGTCCGTACCCTGTTCAGTTTGAAACAGGAAGCTTCTCCACAACAGGAGTCCAGTCACAGAGCAGACAGATCAATGACACAAGGATTTCCAGTGATTCGGCAATCGGATGAGGAGAAACTGTGTGTCTTTGCAAATTTGTGGCACAAAGGCAGAGAATAAAGTGAAAAGAGACAACAAAAAAAGTGGATGGATGAAGAGATGGCAGACGTGATCTGGAGGCTCACTGTGTGGCTAAAGGTCGAAGGTGACACCACAGTGATTGCTGTGGAGTAAGTCATCACAACTAAACTTTCAAGCATCTCGAAGCATCTTACATACTTGCTGCAGACAATCAAAATCAAGAACCAAGCTTGTTTGTTGTCTGTACCATAATCCAACACCCTCTCATTAACGGAGGGATATGCCATCACAAACATGGAGAAAGTGGAATATAATTCTTTAGTATTTACAACATATTTCACACATGATACCACAATGACTCCCCAATCAAAACTTAACTGACCAACCATATTAAACCAACCTGTTTATCCAAACTGAACTAGCAAGAAGTGTCCTATTCACCTTGCTGACTAAAAAAAACCCCCATTATTCAAATCCACTATCTCAGTATCTCACGGTCTACAGGCTGGCAGCACCAACAGGGCCGAAGCATGGCTTTACATTAAGACAGAAACAACTTCTAAATGTGACAGTAACATCTATTGCTATTGCACAATTATCACCACTCATAGGTACATTTTGATATACTCGGTTGTGAATTGCTGTTCATTTTATGCTTGCCAAATTGACAACTATTGCAGAGTTAGGCCTTGTTATACAACAAATGACCAGAAATGGTTTGGTCAAAAAAGCAAGCCAAGAGTATTTTTTGAAAAAAAAAGAACAGAAAAGCTCCAAACAAACCTATTTCTACTCATGAAAAATAATCTTAAGCAGCGTATATCTTTTATTCAAGTGTCAAACCTGCACATGAAATCCCTGTCAAGTCAATAACATCATGCTTCCACATCTGTTAAAGAGACAAACTCGCATATGGCTAACAACCCTCATGAGCTACAGCAAAAATATGACACAATGTCTATGGTCCAATCTTGAACTGCATCTCTGTTTATGTTACATAGCATTGTTAAGGCTTTACAGTGGAAACAGATTCATAAATAATGCCATATTATCACAATATTGCAAGTGCAACTGACTTTGAATCAAAAAACAACTATTTTCGAAGCCCTGTTGGTGCCTTTGCCCCTAAAATATATCCTAACAGTAAGAGCACTGAACTTCTTCCTGCACTCCTGCATGAAAACATCCTGCATTTTAGATATCTGGTGCTTTTTAAGTCAAATCTGATTAGTTAAGGGATTAATTATTTTTTAATACCAATATAGTCGTACATACTAAAATACATGTGCTAATGAATGACTATGGCACAATGTCAGCAATTACTAAGCCACAACATATTTAGCAATTTCTGTATTTGATATTTACTTTTCTATACATTTTAAGACTAGAAAATCTATTTTTTATTTTTCCACTAAATACATAAATTGTTGTTTGTTTTACAATCAAATAATATCCAATAGGATCCAATATCCAATAGGTCTTTTTCCAAATTATTCAGATATCTTCAATGCAGGAAACGTCTTTAATAACACTGAACACTAAAACCACCTCACTCTGTAAAATCACCTTTGCGGTAACCTCTACTCCACTCTTACTGGGTAAAGGGAGAGCTGACGCTATTTGCAAAGGATCACTGAATAGGAGTTGAAATAAAGGATTAATATCTAGAACCAACCAATCACAGAACCTGTTCGTGAAGGGTCAGGGAAAGTCATTTGGCATTAAATGTCTCTTCTAAATTAAAATTGGTAGGAAGTAAGTAAACTGGCACTATACGTCACAAAAAAGATTTTCTAGGGAACAAAATTTAGCTTGGACAATTTCAAGAACAAAGTGTAGATGGTTGGCTTGCAGCCTGATCAAATTTGCGGTCGCCAGCAATGTAGATTTGTGTGGGCTCTGTGAGCTGTGATGAAGTTAGGATAAGTTTGCCAACTTCACATTTGTGCATATAGTTCATTGGCAGCTACAGTCCTACATTGTCAGTGATTCAATGCTTTTGACTCAGTATTAAGAAATGTAAGACACATTAAATCACAAAAACATAAAAATTATGACCCGTTTAAAATGTCAAGACTTGTTGAAAACATACAAAAGTGGTTAAAAAAAAGAATGACATCAATTATTGAAGTAAGAATTTCATGACTAGAATGAGAATAAAAATACTAAACTGGATTCAATCCAGATCCAGTAAATGAGGCTGTTCAGAATCAGAATGTGTGTGTGTGTGTGTGTGTGTGTGTTTCCACTCAGGTTTATGTTGTGCATGGAAGGGTGTGCTTGTTTTTGTACTTCAGATTTCCTTATTGTCAGGTTTGAGTGTCCCGTGCTTTTAAGGTGACTGTGTTTGTTTATGTGTATGTGTGTTTAGTTTCGGTTTGTGTTGAGTGTTGACTGGAGGAGGGATCAGATGTTGTTTTAAGTCTATAACACATAAGTGGGTGGGTCAACGTCAGTTCGCTATAATGACGGATATAGTGAGGGGACGTCTCATATTCAAGTCTCCTCCCCTGTCCCCTCAGAGCTCCACCTCTTTAGAGATCTGCGATGCGATGTGCCTGAAGGCGAGGGGGGCCCCCCACAGGCGTGTGTAGCGTACTCCCTTTGCCTCTGAGGGACCCACACTCAGTTGGCACACCTCCGCTTGGAAAGCGACCTTTGACCCTGCTGCCCCATGACTGCAGCACAGCAGAAACGGGCCAGCGTGCCGGACCTGGCAGCCGCATCCCCTCGCTGCCTCATGCAAGGCCAGTACCACTTCTGCAGGGGCCCGGGGGGGACGGGAGAGATGACCCCTTACATCCCACCCCCCTCCCCCGCTCCAGGGCTCGGACGCTTTCTGATCCCCAGATAAATGGCCACTGGGAAAGAGAGAGAAAGAGAGTATGAAGAGAAACACCAACAATGAGAGATTCAACAAAAAATCCTGAAAAACTGTTATTTGAGATTCACATATTCAGAAAGCAAACACTGCTTTTATTACCATTGTTGAGAATTTTATTCTAGTTTATTTGATTTTTTTATTTAATTTTATAATGTTATTATTTCTATTATTATACAGTATACTATTATTTATTGTTACTTCGTATTACTATTCTTTTTATGTTAACTGGCAGATCATTTTTTCTGGCACTTTGTGTGTGTATTGATGCTTTGGGCAATATTTAATGTAAAACAATTATGCTAATTAAAACTTTGAAATTGAAAGAAAATGAAAAAAGATAAAGAGTCTGATAAAGAAAAAAAAAGCATCTTTTCTGTATTATCAACTGTATTCATACTGAAGTTTTACAATGCACTGCATTGTCAGCTCAAACTCTAAAACTCAAAATCTAAATGATCCACAGCTCAATAAGACAAAACCACAGCTCAAGTTTATATTCTTCTCATTGTAATCTGTTGACAAAGTCCGTTCTTAAAGTTGGCATGAAATCAAATTCATCCCATCTATTTAGTAAATGCATGTTTTAGATCTTATTGTGAACAATTCATCCATGTATGTTTCATTTGTAAAAAGAAATTGACCTATAAAGTTTAATCAGAATGTCAAAACATGATCCTCCAGGTGTACACTTGGCACTTGGTTCATTTGCTTGGCCCAATCCAGTGTTAATAGCACAACAATGTTAAAAGTTCCCTAAGTGGGCCATTCTTGATCATAACGTAGTATCAAATGAGGACTCACCCTGTGACCGAAGATCTGCTGACTCCCTCAGATTCATTTGAGACCCTGCAAAAAACCCACACATTTTCAGATGGTCTGCATTACCTCAACACTGTCTGATCCATGCAACACAACTCCACCACAGACAAAAAAAAAAAATTCCAAGCATACATATCTGGATCTCTCAGTCCTGTCCAACATTATAATCTGCTAGCAGGTCAATAACTGGCTGACCAATGTTGACCTGAGCGATGTGTAATGGGCCATAGAATAAAAACTTGCATATGTTCCTAGATGCATGCAAACTGATAAGAGATATAACCTCCATGCACCATCATCCAGCCTTTCCTCACTCTCACATCCTGTTCACCAGACACACGTTCTGCAAAGGAGACTGCATGCAGACAGGCATGCCATGTGCAGAGACAGACAGACGTGCAGCGGCAACAGACAGGCAAACAGAGGCAGACAGGGGAACTTACTAACTGTTTTGGATCCCTGTGGAAGAGTACAACCCGACACTGATTTATTAGAGCCCTGGCGTTTAGAGGGGTCAAGATTGACCCTAGGAGAGAGAGAGAGAAACACAATGAGGAGAGCAAGAGAAAGAGAGAGAAGAGATGCAGAAAGTCACAGAAAGATTGAGTGATAGAGCAAATGCAACTGAGAGAAAGAAAGGTAACAAAGAAATAAGAGCAAAGTGGGAGAGACTAGGAAAGGTGTACATTTGTATGCTTGGCAAGCTTGAAAAAGAGCCAATAAGCCAAGGAACGATGAATGTGTATAGTGTGATTGTAAAACCAACTTTAAGCTGAAAGAAATCCCCAGTGGGACCCCAGTGTTATTGGACAGGCAGCACTCCGGCACTTTTTTTTTAAAGGAATCATATTTTTGATTCCTACACAAATCATCAAGTCTATGCATTTATTTGTTGGAAGAATGTGTCCGTCAAAAGCATATTTACAAATGTAACCATTTAAGTATTGCCTAAAAGCAAACCTCTGCCTAAGGCCCCATTCACACTGACAGCAACCTGGAGTGACAAAGTAATCCAAAGTCATTCATTTTCAATAACAGTTGTCGATTTCCATTCACAGGAGTGACACTGACCTTTGGCAAAGTGTTGTGTGTTTGTCCAATGACTCGATAAAGTTTAGAAAAGTTTACATTTATGCAAATGAGCAGTGAATGATGTGATGATTACCAATAAGAGTGAAGATAGTTGAGCACATGATCTGTCTCCTGTAAGATACTGCAGTTCAGTGTAGGTAAAACGGAGGAAGCAAATTAGTGATGCACTGATTTTGTAAAAAAAAATGTACATTTAAAGTTAAGCTTTTCATTTAGCAAAAAAACTGAAAACAAAAATAAAATTTGGGTAATTGGGTAACTGAATTCGATATGCTGTCCAGGTTGGCGTGATCTCAGGTGATAAATTAAACCAGTGGTAGTAAAGTTCATTTACAATGAGCTGCCTCTTAATATTTTAACCAAACAAATCTTACATACTGTATCATTACTTTAGCATCCTGCTAAAGATATTTAACTGCTGACATATTTAACTTTTGCAGCTTATCCACATTGTGTGCATGAAATAGACACTGACGCAGTTCAAAATTATTAGCTTTTTTAACTGTAAAAGTCAGTTCACATTTACTGTTGCTTGGCAAAATTTATCATGTGGGACAGATATGACAAAATACAATGAATGATACGAAAATAACAACAACTAAACTAATATCCAAAGCTATTCTGACAGATAGCAAACAAACCAACCTTAAGAAACTGCTTTCCAAACAGCCTTTCCTAATGATCGTTTTATAATATTAAGGTGTAGTGTCGTTTACAAAACCAGATTGAGCACCTCATCTATTGTGCATCTTCTGTTTTGCTTTGTTGCTAAATTATGAACCTCTATCAACACAGAGGTCACTACTGAACCAAGAGGCTTGCTACTAATCAGTGCTGCAAATTTGTGTCAAAGTTCACCAAATGTGAACATGACACGAAGTCTGCATAAGAAAATTTCTTTGCTGCCGGATGACCATCAGGCAAATATCTTCATTGAGCTGGTTATGACGACTTCAAACAATGGTAAATGTGACTGCACCTTATGGAAGGACTTCTGTTTCTACTGTTGTTATATTGAGCATTGTGATGTCTCTATCAACTGGCTCTTTTAACTGTACAGCCATCATACTGAACATTACAGATTTTTCCATTAATTCTTCATCTTGTTCATATGATATGATCATTGTACACTGCTTCATCCAGCAGCACAAATGCCTGACAATGAGCACTGACTTGCCGATTTCTTGCAAAAACAAAATCCCAAGCAATGCATCAAACTGTGGATGTTTTTATTTCTATGATGCGAGTTTCTTTACTTACCTGCGTGTGAGTTTGGAGGTGAGTTTGCTGAACAGGTTAGAAGTGGCCCGGCTGCGGGCATTGGATGGCAGGGCTCCAGCGTCATGGCTGAGGGTGGGCGATGTGGGTGGAGGGCCATAGGTGGGCGGGACACGGTCACGGAGCTGACCCCCATGAAAGGTGCTCCGGATGGTGGATCCACGCGTCAGCCGACAGCGCTCACCTGAGGAAGAGGAGGAGGATGCTCCCGCTCCGACAATACTGAGAGTGGAGGGAGAGGTGGGAGGGAGGCGGTGAGACAGGGAGCTGAGAAGAGACAGAAACAGGCTCAGTGAATGAGAGGCAGACAGTGCAGCACAGTGGCAGAGTGTATCTGTGTTTGTGAATGTATGTGTATGTCACCTGTTGTCTTTGCCATTCTGCAGCAGTAAGTATGCACATTTCCTACCTTATTTGTAAATGAAATTCATCTCCAATCCTTCGTCTATCGTTTCATATTTATCCACTGTTATTTGAATGCTAGAAAAACAAGTAAAACGCGCCAAATGGCGTTTACTAGTTGTTACGTAATGATATGCAATATTCAAGGGGGTGGGGAGATGGGGGATTTCTCCGGTCTATATGCACTGCATCTGCTGAATTATTTTTTTATTGCCAGTAAATAGGAGTAAAATCTCTCACCCAGGTGATGCTATTCCAACAACAGACCATGCAAAATGCCAAAAATATTTTTTATATTTTTTTAATTATTGTCAAGTAAAACGTTGCAACATTGCAAACAACAATAAAATCAGAGAAGGACTCTAAGTGACACAAGCATAAGGAAAACAAACCGAATAATAACATCTTCAGAAAAATGCTCTGAGGATTTTATTGTTTCCTTTGTTTTCCTTATGTTTGTTATTATTGAAATGTTTATATAGATTTTATAAACTTATTTGATATTTTATCACTTTATTCGTTTACTCAGGCATTTTGCTAAATAACCTATATCTTCAACATACATTGTCTATGACCAAAAATGTAAGAAGATTCGTTTTCAGTGCACTTTCAACATTTTTTGCTTGAGAAAGCATGAAAATATACAGTTACAGTGTTTTTTAATTTGATTTAGTTGAGATGGTTTTGCATCAAACACAGTGTGGTTTTCGGCAGTCGAGATCTGGCATTTTTCCGCTTGGGCGAGCATTTCACAGACAGCTTACCTCGTGCGTTAAATCACCCACATGCCAGCAAACCAATGAGAACGCCCTACAATCATTACAAGTCATAGCGATAGAGCGGAGGCGCCAAAGCTGCTGTGAATCCGCTCGCCCAGAACCTTTCATAACTGCACAGATTTCCAGAAAATTACCGTTGTTTGTAAAAAAAAAATAGTCTGACGTACTTATTCCCAACACTTTATTAAGCTTTAAGTTACATCTCAAATGACAAGGGATCAACTTATAATCATGTTTATATTAATTAATTTATATTTATATTAATTAACCCACAAACTCATTCTCTCAGATGGCTTGGGTATGCAGAGCATTCGCAGCTTATATGGACGGAACGCCACTGATATATATATATATATATAT